GTAAGAGTCTCCAAAAGCCGCCAGTGACACCGTAAAAAGTCGCCAGATTTGTTGCTAGTCGCTTTTTTGAAAAATAGTTGCTAGAGGGGTCTGAAAAGTCGCTAAATATAGCAACAAAAGTCGCTGAGTTTGCAACACTGCACATGCGGCGCTGGCTCGCTCTGCCGTATTTTTTTTCTTCCCCCGTTTCAGTCAAGTGGATGTGATGACGACGGCGGTGGATGACGCATTAATCGCGCGACACAACTAATCGATGATGAAATTTGTTGCCAACGCTTTTTAAAGTCGATTTTTATCGATTCGTTGTTGCAGCCCTAGCCCAAACATTAATCATAGCTTCTTTTCAGGTCTGCTGATTTTTTTTTTGGTTGAATAAATTTTTTTGCTGCCAGACCTCATAATGCTTAAAATCCATCAATAATAATAAACTCTTACCTTCATTAGTCCTGATGTTTGTTTTGTCTAGACGAGTGTCGATGTCTCCATTAACACCAGAGAGCTGAAACACACACTCATACTTGGTCCAGTCCTCAGATGATGGTAATTTCAGGTCAACGCTCATCTGGAAGGTTCCATCATTGTTAGGGAGGATCTCTCCTTTCTCCACACCATCATGGATCTCTGCTCCATCTTTCCTCCAGAACATTTCTGCTCTGTTGGGGTAGAAACCTGTAGCAAAGCAGCTGATTGGAGAGTAGGGAGACTTCTGGAGGAAGGACACTGAGGGAAGATCTGGAGACGGAGACAATTAGAGTTTAAGTAAAAAGCTGTTCAACAATTTTCCATCATGCTTATCCCAAGCAGGGTCACGAGGGGTGCTGGTGCCTATCCCAGCTGTCTACGGGTGAGAGGCGGGGTCCATCCAAGAAAGGTTGCCAGTCAATTGCAGGGCAACACAGAGACAAACAGGAGAAACAACCACTGACAGTCAGACCTAAGAAGAATTTAGAGAATCCAATTAACCTAATAGTCATGTTTTTGGTCTGTGGGAGGAAGCCAGAGTACACGAAGAGAACCCACACATGCTCAGCCTTCTTGCTGCAAGGCAGTAGTGCTACCCACTGCGCCATTGAGCAGCCCAAAATATATATACTGTTTGGGGATTAATTTCCAACCTATGCAGATTGTTTGGAATGTTTAAAGCTGAATAAAAGCCACAGACAAGCCACAGACAAAACAAAAGTCCCAGTTAAAATCTAGTGAAACAAAATTCTCTTTGAACATTTCAAGTGAAATAAAACATTCAAATCAGTTAAAATAAAGAAAAATCAGGAAAAGTGACTCTACCTGTTCTCATCAGAGAGCTCCTCCCATAGTTCAAATACTTCTTCACCCACTCAGGACAAATCTGGTTGAAATAGTTCTTATCTCTCTCCAGAAAAGCTCTGTCATTGTTCCATTTTTCTGTAGTAATTACAGCCTGTGGTTTTGGAGTAAAAAAGGTGTTTGTCTCCATGTTCCATGTTAGAAAGTCTTCCCCATCATAGCCAAACTGGTCAAAGCCAGTAACCTCTTCAGTCTCATCATCCCAGTCACAGCCGTACATCTGCTGGACAATGTGGACACCTAGAAGACAGTAAATACAATCTCACTTTAGTTTTCTCTTACTTCTCTCTATGATCATTGTTCATTTTTATTAACACATCTTCAATTATCTTACCAATAAAATAAGTTAACTAAGTTAACCTATTTTATCAATAATAGAAAATAGAAATGTTCTATTTCTCCATTAGTGTATCTGATCTTCCTGCTTCCTCTCAGTCTGTAATGTTTCAGCTGATCTTCTCTCCTCCATCTCTGTGTTTCTTCTCTAAAGATGGAAACAAACAGACCTGTCCACAGATCTCCTCACTAGAACCAGAACCACTGACCCAGGAGCTCCTTCTCTATAAAGCAGCTCCATCTAAAGCAGCTGTTGATCAGGATGGTTTTTCCAGATGTTCCCTCCTGATCAGAGGAAACCTGATTAAAGCTTCAGTCCATCAATAAACTGTCACAGTCTGAGCTGCTTCCAGCTGCCATCAGGATGATCTTCCA